GGGGTAGAGTCCAGCGATTCATTGCTTATGTACAACACCCTGTGCTCATCCCAACTAGTGCCCTCCATGCCCATCACCCATTTCCCCTCTCCCGCCCCCACCCCGCCCCCATCAATCCCCAGTTTGTTCTCTGTATTTAAGAGTCTCTTATGGTTTTCCTCCCTCCCTGTTTGAAACTATTTTCCCCCTGCCCCTCTCCCATGGTCTTTTGTTAAATTCCACTTATGAGTGAAAACATATGATATCTGTCTTTCTCTGGCTGACTTATATCACTTAGCATAATACGCTCCAGTTCCATCCACATTGTTGCAAATGGCAGTATTTCATTCTTTCTCGCTGCCAAGTAGGATTCCATTGTATATATAAACCACATCTTCTTTATCCATTCATCAATTGATGGTCATTTGGGCTCTCTCCATACTTTGGCTATTGTTGATAGCACTGCTATAAACATTGGGGTACATGTGCCTCTATGAATCAGCACTTCTGTATCCTTTGAATAAATACCTACTAGTGCAATTCCCCCAGTAGGGCAGTTCCGACTACCCCCACATCGTTTTCCAGAGTGGCTGGACCAGTTTGCATTCTCACCAATATTGCAAGTGGGTTCCCATTTCTCCACATCCTCACCGAAGTGTATTGTTTCCTGTGTTGTTAATTTTAGCCATTCTGACCAGTCTGAGGTGGTATGTCATTGTGGTTTTGATCTGTATTTCCCTGATGATGAGTGATGTTGAGCATTTTTTCATGTGTCTACTAGCCATCTGGATATCTTCTTAGGACAAGTATCTATTCATGTGTTTTGCCCATTTCTTCACTGGATTGTTTGGTTTTTGGGTGTTAAGTTTGATAAGTTCTTCATAGATTTTGGATACTAACCCTTTATCTGATACATCATTTACAAATATCTTTTCCCATTCTGTCAGTTGCCATTTATTTTGTTGATTGTTCCTTTGCTGTGCAGAAGCTTTTTATCTTGATGAGGGAAGACTTCAAGCTTTAAAGGTCAGTAATACCAGGGCACCTGGGTGGCTCAGAGTTGGTAGAGTGTCCGACTCTTGATTTTGGCTCAGGTCATGATCTCAGGGTTTGTGAGATTTAGCCCTGTGTTGAGCACAGAGCCTGCTTGGGATTCTCTGTCTCCCTCTCTCTCTGCCCCTCCCCCCACTCACCCCCTCTCAAAAATAAATGACTAAACATTTTGAAAAAATATAGGTCATTAATTTCAACATGCTGAGTGAATGAGGGAATAGGGTCTGTAATAGGTGAAGGACAGGTTTGAGTGGATTTATCAGGGAAAGCTTCCTAGAGGAGGTGACTGTTTCTTCTATGGAAAAGAGGAGTATTGGGGCATAGAAGGCTGACTCTGAGATGGGTCAGGAGGCTGCGGCCAGGGCCAGGCGAGAGACAAGGACACAGTTCCCTGGCCTTAGATGACCTCCAAGCTCACGGAGGCAGAGGGTGGGGCAGCCTCCACATCTCCTCACACTGGTTCCCTGCTATACATCTTCTAGAAGTTTCTGCTTCTGTATCATACTTGTTTTTCTTCTTTTTTGTCATCATTCTTACAGGACATATTGTATTTTTTCCCATATTTTTACATATTCAAGAAAGTGTGAGTAAGCACATGTCTACAGTTTAATGAGTACAAAAGTCAACCACCGCTAGGTTACGGAGCTGAGTGACTGCTCCAAGTGTGCCCACGGCCCAGGTGCAAACGCCATGCTGAGTCTCTAATGAACCATTCCCTTGTTTTCTTCTGTGCAGTTATTTATATATTTGCCCTTTTAAACTGTACAGCTTTGTGGGTTTTGGTATATTCACAAGGTGTGCGACCAGTGCCCTCAACCTCCAGAGTGTCTCTGCCGAGAGGACGCTGCCAACGGGCAGCCGCCCCCTTTATCTCGTTGTGATTCACGAGTCCTTGTACCCTGTCATCCCTCCACCAGCTATCGTCCGAGTCACCTCACCTGCGTTTCTGAATTCCTCCTTCTCTTGGCCTCTCCGTGCTCCCCTCCTTCTTCCTGAATCTCTTTAGATGGCCTTGCCCTCAGGGACCTCGTTTTTTCTCCCTCTACCTCTGTCTTCTCCGCTCTCTCCCAATTACCATTTTGTTCCTGGCTCTTCTCCCCTCACATTCATCCAGTGGTTTATGCATTTCCTCCTTTTTGGGCCCCAGGAGTGTGAGCACAGAGGGGAAAAAAAATGTCAGATTGCCGCTGTGCTAAGAGGCCAGCATGAGGTCAGGTCCCGGGAAGAAATCCTCCCTGTGGCCAGCAGAAGGGCATAGGGCACAGCCCAGGCCTTGGCATGGAAGGGAACTGGGTGGAGAGAGATCAGAGTCCAGATGTGTTATTGGAATTCCTTGAAAACACAGTGTGTCTCAGGATCCGACCCTGTCTGGGTAGGAAATCCCCTGAATCAGTTTTTCTCAGGGGAATCCCAGGCTTGCCCTCACAGTAGCTCCGAGCTGCAAATCCCCGGCTCCCCTGGGTGAACCCCCTATGGCTGAGGCAGGTGCGACAGTGAGCCCTGCAGTCCCCTCCCCCCAGTTCTGGGGCAGGGGCCTGTCCTTCTCCTCCTGTCTGCTCTCACAGGCTCTCTGCTGCCCGCTGCCCGCTGCCGGGCGGGGCCCACCACCCAGGATGCTCCTGCCTGCATATAGACCCAAGCTAGAGCTCATTCCTCACCAGGCTCCTTCTCTGCCCTGATCCTTCCCTGACTGGAGCCCTTCCTGTAGTGCCAGGGCATGCACACCACATGCTCCCCCTTTTCTTTGCTCTGGGAGAAGATTGGAACTAAGGTAGTGGAGATTTGCATCTTCAGTCTTGCTCACCAGCAACTACTAGTAAGACTCTGGGTGAGTTCCCTTCTTAGCACTGGAGGTGGAGGTACCAACATTTACCTCATTAGAAAGTGGAAACAGTTAACGAGGTGCATTTACAAATGTGTTCTGCAGTTCCTGAAATCTGAGAAGTACTCATTAAATGTTATTTTCCATTTTGTGTTACTCACTTATTTCTTAGTTCATTCGTGCATTTGGTAAATATCAAGTACTCACTGCACCAGACAGCACGCCCACAAAGTGCGGAAGATACAGGTCAGTCAAGACACAGTGAAGACACCCAAGACTCCTACTGTTTAGTGGGGGTGACAGACAAGCAAGCAGGTGGTCTTATTGCTGGAGAAGCTTGGTCCGCGGGGCTCGAGGAAGGCGTATGACTGGGTAGATGATGGGTACACGGCCTACCATAGGAAGGGACCTAGAGACTTCTCCCTTCCTGGAGGTGCTGCTCACAGGTTAGACCTGTGTAAATCCTGAGGCTGAGGGGAGAGCTGGGAGGAAAAACCTGCTCCCTGACCTGGTGTCTGGGCATCTGCAGGGAACTCGGAACGCGCATGGATGCAGCCAGACCCGCAGGACTGCGGCTCGACAGACTCCCTTCCCCAAAAACGTCGTCCTGGGGCCCTCCCTGCACGAGGCTTTCTGAGAAAGGAGACGTTGGCCCCAACATGTTGTAGGCTGCTGAGGCAGGAAGGACAGAGAGGGGAGCAGGAGAGGGAGCTAGTGGTAATCGGCTTTCTACATCCGTTCTCTGCTTCCCTTTCCGGTGTGAGAAGGGGCGGGGTTTCGGCGAGGGGTCTGGGTCACAGGCCAAGGTGTTGTGAGGAGGGGAGGGGTTCAGCGAGGGGTCTGGGTCACAGGCCAAGGTGTTGTGAGGAGGGGCGGGGGTTCGGCGAGGGGTCTGGGTCACAGGCCAAGGTGTTGTGAGGAGGGGAGGGGTTCAGACGCTACGTACGTGCAAGCGCGCCCAACCTCCGGTAACCAGATCCGGAATTTTCTGGTCGGCTACTGGTGACGCTTCAGGATCCCCGGATCCTATTGGACGCCGCATGGAGGTGCGGCCGCCGCAGGCGGATAGTCAGAGTCGTCTTCCAATTTTATTGACTAATAAGGCTTTCAAATAGAAGAACATGATTTACGTTAATTTTTTTTTTAAAATATTTGGTGTTGGATCGCATGACTCTACACAGGCACTTCTGCAAACCCAAGTTGTGCAGGTTGGAGACTCCTGCAGTAAAATGGGACTATTTAACATCTACCCGTGAGTGAATGGCCACTAAAAATACAGCAAAGAAGATGATAACTTGACCTTTTTAGGGTATTTTTACTTTGAAAACATTGGGAATATCTTTAATAAGTGCTTTTTTGAGAACGGGTTTGTGGCACTGCCCTGAGTTTGGGAGGGGGCAAGGTTCCTCTGGGATGTTAGGAGTGTCAGAGTAGTCCAGCAGACTCCCTGAAGGCACACAGCCCGTGCAGCCCTCCCCTCGTTGTCCCAATCCAAACCTGCAGAGCTTCCTGGGAGCTTCTGGGAGTAGGGGGTGTCCCGCGGAAAGGTGTGGAAACTGAGTGCTGTCATGTGAGAGCGGATGTGCGGTGTCCTGCTGTGCAGAAGGTGGGCTCAGCACTTGATTGCTGGCCTAGGATTGTTTTAAGTACTGGATTTGGTTTGTAGGTTCTGGTGCAGGATAGGAAGAAGGTTAGAGAGCTCACGACCCTGGAACCTAAAGTTCTTTGTAAAGAACATTTTATGAACAGTTTCCTGAGTCCTCTCATGTTAAGGCTGGAAAACAAACATCTGAGGAGGCGAACGCGCCTGCCTGGCGAACATAGCAGGTGGCCCTGGGACTGCAGCCCTGTCCCCTCCGAGCAGGCCCCTCATCCTGGCTCTTCCCAAGACCTGGCTCCCTCTGCCAGGCCGCTCCTGGTTCCCTCACCCCTCGCCGACGCTGGCCGGCCTTTCCCGTCCTGGAGATCAGGACAGGCGGTGCGGCTGTGAAGCAGGGAGAATTCTCAGCAGAGAAGGACCAGCCTGTGCTTGGAACAGGAGCGGGGATGCGTTGGTAGAGAGCAAAGTGCTTGATCAGACAGTATTCTTTGTTTACTGGCTCCACGGTAGCAAAAGTGAAAGAAAATGAATGAGATCATTCAAGAACAAAGGGTACAGAGCCAGTGTGTCAGGCAGGGGATTTCCAGCCAGTATGCACATATAAGCGGGACACGAGGCTCTTTTCCTCGCCTCCGGCTTCTGCTCCCTTGACTACAGACATGGCATCTGGTGCCTCCTGCGTCTGTGTGAGTTGGGGTTTGATGGTGGGGATGGGGAGGGGAAGCACCTCCAAGAGATGGGGGCCCCTGGGGTGCAGGAGGGACGGAGCTGGGAGGGGGCTGGGAAGCTGTCTTGCAGGAATGCAACAGGCACCAATATCTACCGAGGTGAAGGAAGATTCTGGAAATAGAAGAGGTTCACTTGACTGCTGGGCTTTCTTTGGTGTCAGACCCAGCAGGCTGCTCTTAGGGGAGGGTGGTAGCGGTGTGTGAGTGGGCTTTGTGTTTGCCGGGGCTGGCAAGATTTGACACCATGCAAGCCCTTTGACCCTTATTGTGTTTAGGGGTCCTGGGCTCTTAAATTTCCTTCTCCTCCCAGAAGAGGGGTTCACAAAACTCATTTATCCTGAGCTGTTAAAGACCTGATATGTTACCTTGTAAAGAGTGTGTGCACCACGAAGAGAGCCAGGATAAGGGCAGTGCTTGGCATGGAGGGGCTCCAGTCCAGTGAAGAAATGTCCAAGGTGTCCAGACTGGGAAGACTGATTTGAGTAGAGCAGGAAGGGGGGCACCCCCCAGGCTTGCTGGTGACAGCACAGGGAGCTTGCCCGGTTTCGGATTATTCAAGTAGGACTTAGATCTGGCCTTACCTCCTGTGATGAGCCCCTGGTCTCATTATAGGAGGAGATCATATTCTGTAACAGGCAGATATAAAAACAGGAAGTCCAGATGAATAAGGCTCATGACACACTGAGTTATTATTATAAGCCCATGGGATATTAAAAAAGGAAACAACAGTACAAAGAATAGGCATCCTAGACAAGGTTTCCTGGTAAGGTAGTCATGGAAGGCAGTGCTGGGAGTAACCCCTGAGGCCACCGAGTTTTGGGAATTCTCTCGGGGTGGAGGGTGTTTTTAGAGTCTGGTATATATCTTTGGATGCTTTGTAATTGTATTTAGTTTTGACCTTTGACAAATTTTACATGGGTAGGAGGCAGGCAAGTAATGTGGGAAATCATCAATGACATTGGGATGAAGTTTGGCTAAAAAGGAATATGACTGAATTTCTTGAGTTCTAAGCTGGAGATTCCCAAAGCAAAGTTCTAAGGAAGGGAGGGCCAGGCAGGCAGGGGAGAGGCGACAGGTGGTGGAAAGACCCATGATGCCGGGTCTCTTGGCTTTCATTGTCCAGGTGGAGGTCTGTTCTGAGGAATGGACATCAATGACCCTCACTGCTGACGTGGACGACAGAGTGAAGAAGATCAATGAATTTGTCCGGGCTAAGACTAAGGTTCCTGTGCAGGACCAGGTCCTTCTTCTGGGCTCCAAGACTCTCAAGCCCCAGAGAAAGCTGTCTTCCTATGGTATCGACAGGCAGACGACCATCCACCTCACTCTGAAGGTGGTGAAGCCCTGTGAGGAGGAGCTGCCCTTGTTTCTGGTGGAGGCCGGTGATGAGGGGCAGAGGCATCTCCTCCAGGTGCGAAGGGCCAGTTCGGTGGCCCAGGTGAAACAGATGATCGAGAGCAAGACCGCTGTAGTGCCTGAGAAACAGATTGTGGTTTGCAACGGCAAGAAGCTGGAAGACGGGAAGACCATGGCAGAGTATGGCATCAAAAGAGGCAATTTACTCCTCATGACAAAGTACTGTGTCGGGGGGTGACTGTGCCATGGTGGGTGGTACCAGGAGCAGAAGTGCGAACTGTTAGCCCTTACTCACCCCCCACATCCTTTGATGATTTCCCCAAATTAACAGGAAAGATAGAGAAGATTTGAGGTGAAGTGGGGAGGAACGGCTGCAGAGAGCACTCTGTTTTCTAATTCCCGCGTTTCTTGATCTCACATAATTGATTAGGTGACAAGATTGTTTATGTGACTCAAGTAGAACATAAATTTTTAAGGCACAGTAGACAGCATCAAAGCCAGCTTGCAATTGAATCTTTTCCTAGTTCCCTCTGACTTATAGAGAAACTCCTATTTCCTCTTCTATCCAACAAGATAGTGTAAGTTTTAGATTGGGATCCATGTTCTACTAATTTCTGTGTTTCCACTGATCTATTTCATCTGTAATATCACACCATATGTTGAACCAAATTGAATTTCTGCTTATAGAGAACAGTGAAATGATACATCATAAATGAATTACTCTGAAATGATTACAAGCTAGTTAATAAAGAATTTAGAAATTCAAATTAAAGTATGTCCAGTGTCCCTATGTATAGCTGTTTGGTATGAAATGTCACCTGGCATTGTGTCCCTTATTCTTTGTGTCCCTAACCAAACTGTTCTTATTTCTGGGGATGATAGTGGGCTGGGAAAATATTTTCCCTGGGGACCCCAGAGGTTTTGGGTCTCCAGCGGCATCTCCTGGGGGCAGGGGTTTCTAGAAGGCGTGGCTGTGCACCAGTCTCTGTCCTGCCTGCTGTAGGGTCTAGCAGGCCTTCTCCCTGGTGGGGGCATCAGTCTGGGTGGGGTGTCCCCCCCCCACCCCCACCCCCGCTCTGACTGCCAGAGCGCGTTCCGCCTCCTTCACCACCGGTGCCTGGTCCTCCATGGGGAGCGCGGGTCCCTTCCTCCATCTCCCTCCCCTCGCTCACCCCTGTGTCCCCCTGTCCCGCTGCTCTTTACGCTTCGGGGTCCAGTGCTCTTGGTGGGCACTGGCGACCGGGTTAGGGGGGCATCAGGTTGGCCTGGTTTCCTGAGATGAGCTCCTTTTTCGGAGGGGGTGTCCTGAAGCCAGACACCCGGGGCTCTGCCCTGGTGCGCCGCCCAGGGGGGCGCAGGGGGACGTCAGCTGTCTGGTCACACATGGCCTTGCCGGCACACGGACGCTTCCGCGGCCGTCACGGTAACCCGAGGGTGGGGAATGCCCCCCCCCATCCTGCCTTCTCCCTCCACCCGCTTCAGAGAAGGCCCGAAGGCCTCTCTCGCCTCCCAGAACCCGTATCAACGAAGGATGGAAGGGTTTCCCGAACATTTCTCGACCTCACGGAGCTCAGGGTCTCCCCCCGCCGACCTCGGCCAGATCTTGCAGATTCGCACACGGAAGCGGGCAAACCGCCTTCGCGATGGATTCGCAGCCCTGCGCCCGCCCCTCCCGACTCCCCAGGAGCTTCCTCGCCACCCGCTTCTCTTCTCGGTGGAGGTGAGCGGGTTGAGGGTCGGCGTGACCCCCCCACAGAAGAGCAGAGCGAACGCGGGTGGTAGCGGCGCGGGCGGCCTGCGGATGGAGGGGGGCGGCGGGCGGGGCGCGCTCAGCCTCGAGGTTCGGGCGGGCGCGCCGTACGGGTGCGGGGAGCGGGCGCGGGGCGGGCGCGGGGGCGGGCGCGGGGGCGGGCGCGGGGGCGGGCGCGGGGCGGGCGCGGGGGCGGGCGCGGGGCGGGCGCGGGGCGGGCGCGGTGGGCAGACCGACGCCGGCAGGTGCAGCGGGCGGAGCCGGCGCCGCGCGGCCCGCCGCGCCCTCCCCGCGGCCGGCACGCGGAGGAGCCCCGCCCCCCGGCGCCCCCGGGCGCGCAGACCGGCCGGCGGCGCGGGGGCCACGCTCGCAGCGCCGGGGGCGCCGCAGGTCGCGCGGGGGCGTGTGCCGGCGCGAGTGGCGAGGGAGCACGACCGTCCAGTTGCCCCCGGGTCAGGGCGGCGCGAGGCCGCTGGGTGACCCAGCAGGAGGAAGGGCTCCCCGCGCGGCGGCTGCACTGACAGAGGAGACCCCGGGAGCGTTGGGAGGGAGGCCACGTGCGTGGTGACCAGGTGGCTTTCCCTGCACAAGGACGTCGTGGCGCAGAGCCGGTGCGGAGCGCCCCGTCTTGCTGCCCCTCAGCCCGTGTATTTACCACCTGCTTTGGGGAAGAAAGGGCCTCCACTCTGTAGATGGACAGACTCAGGCTCAGAAAGGCGACATTGTCCCAGGGTCACAGCTAGTGGGTGGCCTGTCCCACTTCCGAGTCGTGCTGGCCCGGTTCTGAGTGGACTCCTAAGGGCCGGAGTGGAAATCTGGACTTCCTCCCACATAACAGTTCTCCAGAATCCTGCGGTTTTGTCCTTTCTCACCTCGATCGGTATGTGGGTATTGAACCAGCAGCCCTGCATCCCAGGTATAAACACAACTCAGTCATGGAGACTAATTCTTTTAATGTATTGCTCTATTGTTGGACCCGGTTGGCTAGTATCTTGTTGAGGTTTTTTGCATCCATGTTCATCAGGGAAATTGGCCTGTAGTTCTCCTTTTTACTGGGGTCTTTGTCTGGTGTGGAATTAAGGTAGTGCTGGCCTCCTAGAGTGAGTTTGGAAGTTTTCCTTCTATTTTTTTAAATAGCTTCAAAAGGAGAGGTGTTAACTATTCTTAAATATTTGGCAGAATTCCCCTGGAAAGCCATCTGGTCCTGGACGCTGTGTTTTGGGATATTTTTGATTACTAATTCAATTTCTTTACTGCTTATGGGTCTGTTCAAATTTTCTATTTCCTCCTGTTTCAGTTTTGGGAGTTTATATGTTTCTAGGAATTTGTCCATTTCTTCCAGATTGCCAGTTTACTGGTGCATAATTGCTCCAAATATTCTCTTATTATTGTTTGTATTTCTGCTGTGTTGGTTGTGATCTCTCCTCTTTCATTTTTGATTTAATTTATTTGGGTCCTTTCCTTTTTCTTAATTGATCCAACTGGCTAGGGATTATAATAGTTCTCCAGATATTTGAAGACAGATTCCCCGCCCAGTCTCCCTCCCTTCTTGGAAAGTCTGTAGTGCCTAAGAATAAGTGCAATACCCCAGGCTTGGTATAACCAGCACTTGGTAGATTAGAGTTATTTATCACCTTCTTTCCCTCAGGGCCTCTACTTCTGTTAATACAGCCATTAACTGCTTACTCCTGAGTGCTAATTTGTGGTGAATCTCTCTTCTGGCCTCCAATGTTCATGACTCTCTTGCCTCTACCTGGTGTGAGGATCATGCTTTACCAGACTTGAAACAAAGTTTTAAAATGTTTTTATTTATTTTTGAGAGAGAGATAGAGACAGCATGAGCACGGAAGGGTCAGAGAGAGAGAGGGAGACAGAATCCAAAGACAGGCTCCAGGCTCTGAGCTAGCTGTCAGCATAGAGCCCAACGCGGGGCTCGAACCCACGAACTGTGAGATCATGACCTGAGCGGAAGTCGGACGCTTAACCGACTAAGCCACCCAGGCGCCCCTGGCCACTTCAATTGTTTGATATGGAGAAGTCATACATTTCCCTTTGCCTGACTCAGGCTTTCATGTAACTAGATGACCTCTGGGGCTCCTGGCTTATCCCCCAGCTCTAAGTGCAAAAAATACTTTTCAAACAAATGAAAAGGGGACCCGGAAGCTTTTCATCCCTTAAGAGTGATGCTGATCACATTTCCTAATGGTACAGAAACCACAGTGGTTGATTGCTGGGAGCATTCTGAGTTGGCCAAGCTGAAGACCAGTCTTTTCCTGCCATGCAGGAGACATCTGCTCCAGTGTCTAGGAGTCCTTGAATAGGAATTCCCTGAACCTGCAATACTTCCATGGGCCTAGAGGCTTTAGTCTCCTGCATCCAAAAAGGCCTTCTCGCTAGAGCCCAAATTTCCCTCTCCTCTGGGAGCATCCATGGCATCCCTTCCTAGGTGAGGATAAGGCAATACGAGGAACTGGGCAATTCTCTGATTGTTAAAAATTTGCTTGGTGGAGGAAGGAGGAGAGACCAACACCTTGATCTCTCCCTGATAATCAGCGTCAACCACCCCAGGGATTATATGGATCCCCTGCAGGGAGATGGAGCTCCGTCTCAGTATTAGTCCCACTACCCCAGGGCGTAGGGGCCCCTTTCCACCGGTGGGAATAGTTACAGGAGGTGAATCCGGGGTTAGTATTGTGCTGGTGGTGGAACGGAGGTTCAATCCTGCGCTGCCNCAGAATCCAAAGACAGGCTCCAGGCTCTGAGCTAGCTGTCAGCATAGAGCCCAACGCGGGGCTCGAACCCACGAACTGTGAGATCATGACCTGAGCGTAAGTCGGACGCTTAACCGACTAAGCCACCCAGGCGCCCCTGGCCACTTCAATTGTTTGATATGGAGAAGTCATACATTTCCCTTTGCCTGACTCAGGCTTTCATGTAACTAGATGACCTCTGGGGCTCCTGGCTTATCCCCCAGCTCTAAGTGCAAAAAATACTTTTCAAACAAATGAAAAGGGGACCCGGAAGCTTTTCATCCCTTAAGAGTGATGCTGATCACATTTCCTAATGGTACAGAAACCACAGTGGTTGATTGCTGGGAGCATTCTGAGTTGGCCAAGCTGAAGACCAGTCTTTTCCTGCCATGCAGGAGACATCTGCTCCAGTGTCTAGGAGTCCTTGAATAGGAATTCCCTGAACCTGCAATACTTCCATGGGCCTAGAGGCTTTAGTCTCCTGCATCCAAAAAGGCCTTCTCGCTAGAGCCCAAATTTCCCTCTCCTCTGGGAGCATCCATGGCATCCCTTCCTAGGTGAGGATAAGGCAATACGAGGAACTGGGCAATTCTCTGATTGTTAAAAATTTGCTTGGTGGAGGAAGGAGGAGAGACCAACACCTTGATCTCTCCCTGATAATCAGCGTCAACCACCCCAGGGATTATATGGATCCCCTGCAGGGAGATGGAGCTCCGTCTCAGTATTAGTCCCACTACCCCAGGGCGTAGGGGCCCCTTTCCACCGGTGGGAATAGTTACAGGAGGTGAATCCGGGGTTAGTATTGTGCTGGTGGTGGAACGGAGGTTCAATCCTGCGCTGCCTGGGGTTGCTCTATAGAGCTCGGAGACTGACTGATATTGGTGAAGGGTTGAGCGGGCTGAGGGATGTTGCCCCAATTACTGTCGGGGCCTGGGGCTGGCCCCTCAGTTCGTTTCCCTGGTCCTGAGATTTTTGGAGATTTGTTCCCAGTGGCTGGCCATTTTTGTGAAATTTAGATTTACAATCTTTGGCACAATGAAAACCCTTTAGACACCTAGGGCATATAGTCCTGGGCCTGTTGTTATTGTTTGTCACCTGAGGAACAGGAGCAGTTGGCAGAGAGGTATTTGCCTTTTCTGAGGGGCAGTCCCTACAGAAATGTCCCATTTGTCCACAAGAATAGCAACTAAACCTTGAGGGAGGTTTTTCACTCTTAGTACCTCCTGACTGCCCTAAGGACCTGACATATTGAGGGTATGTTTCTCCCTTTAAAGC